ACTTATAAGTAATATAAAGCATTCTTTCTAGTTTGGAACTTCCTTGATATCTTATCGAGGGTTCACGATGAGCGAGTTAATGTAGGTACGATTCGCTTAACGGGGAGCTAGCTAGCTTTGTCCTTCATTATTCATCAGCCACACACGCCGAGTTTTCCACTGTGAAGTTATATAATGTTTTCGTAAAAATACTAATGTCTAATAAGAATCCACTGAAGTTAAATGATTTCTAATGTTTGAACTTTGTAGATGTTTCTGGTCAAATATCTTACGTTTCCCGATTGATAATTGTTTTAACAAGCACAATTATAACTTCTGAAGTTTATAGCACACTGACTATAAACTAATAATAGACTCCTTTTTTTGGAGCGTCGCATTGGTTATATTTATAGCCGCGTGGAGTGTTTCAAGAAAATTCAGATTATGTAACAATACAAAGCTACATTAAGCACTTACGTACATACATATATTAATAATGCTTGAAGATAGCTTGAATGGGTAATGAAGAAAAACTTTAATATAAGCTTAACATAACAGTAAATGTACAACGTTACGACAAGGTTTTGTCATGATCAGGTACAAGTAGTTTACATTGACACAGATATATATATATACAGTATGGAACAAGAGGTCACATTCAAGCCTCCTCCAAGCATTATTAGTCTCAAAGTGGGTTTCTCGTCATCAAATTTTAATACATATATTGTTGATTATTACACTCTGGAATCTTCTACAATTGTAGAGAATAGGCGGGAGTCTCACAATACATATTTAACAGTATAAGCAATGTATGTTTCTAAATATAAATTTAATCTAAACAAACGTCGATATTAAAATAAATATATAATAAATCCGTCACAATGGTCAAGAAACGAAAAATGGAAAATCTTACATCAAAAGTAGGACAGTATATTTGGGAAATGGAAACTCGCAGTCATATCAGTTATAACTCAACCATTAGAAACTTCATTATCAACGCAACAGCTTCTCACCATCATTATTTGATAGTTAGGTGTAATCCTCCAACTGTAGAGATACAGAAAGAAAATCAAATAGAGATGAAAAAATAGGTTACGTAAAATGGTCACTTAGTTCCAATGTCATGCTATTATTTTAGGCCAAAAATATTTCATTTAGTCGTAAATAACTACTATTAGATCTTTATATTAATGCGCTAGTTTTCGCTTTTATAAAAACTATGCTTGCAGTATAACACTGAACCAAAAGTTTTACTAGTAAAACATGCACAATAAACATCATTACAAAGGTGTAGTACTAACTACCGGGAGGTTTTACTGGTAAAACATGCACAATAAACATCGTTACAAAGGTGTAGTATTAACTACCAGGAGATTTTACTGGTAAAACATGCACTATAAACATCGTTACAAAGGTGTAGTACTAACTACCAAGGGGTTTCACTGGTAAAATATGTACTACAAAAATCGTTACAAAGGTGTAGTACCAACAACCAAGGGGTTTTACTAGTAAAACATGCACTATAAACATTGTTACAAATGTGTAGTACCAACTACCAGGAAGTTTTACTGGTAAAACATGCACTATAAACATCGTTACAAATGTGTAGTACCAACTACCAGGAGGTTTTACTTGTAAAACATGCACTATAAACATCGTTACAAAGGTGTAGTACCAACAACCAAGGGGTTTTACTAGTAAAACATGCACTATAAACATCGTTACAAAGGTGTTGTACCAACAACCAAGGGGTTTTACTAGTAAAAAATGCACTATAAACATTGTTACAAATGTGTAGTACCAACTACCAGGAAGTTTTACTGGTAAAACATGCACTATAAACATCGTTACAAAGGTGTAGTACCAACAACCAAGGGGTTTTACTAGTAAAACATGCACTATAAACATCGTTACAAAGGTGTAGTATTAACTACCAGGAGGTTTTACTGGTAAAAAATACACTATAAACATCGTTACAAAGGTGTAGTACAAACTACCAGGAGGTTTTACTAGTAAAACATGCACTATAAACATCGTTACAAAGGCGTAGTACTAACTACCAAGGGGTTTTACCGGTAAAATATGTACTACAAAAATCGTTACAAAGGTGTAGTACCAACAACCAAGGGGTATTACTAGTAAAACATGCACTATAAACATTGTTACAAATGTGTAGTACCAACTACCAGGAAGTTTTACTGGTAAAACATGCACTATAAACATCGTTACAAAGGTGTAGTACCAACTAACAGGAGGTTTTAGTGGTAAAATATGCACTATAAACATCGTTACAAACGTGTACTACTAACTACCAGGAAGTTTTACTGATAAAACATGTACTAAACATCGTTACAAAGGAGTAATACCAACTACCAGGAGGTTTTACCAGTAAAACATCTTTGATGCTATACCGCGCCTCGTATGAACTGCTGGGTAATTGATATTTAGCGCTTAATAATCTTGGGTAGGTATAAATACTTGTAAAACTTTTAAATTTATCCGATCTCGCTTTCGAGACCTGTAAAACATTGAAACCAAAACGGTCCGAGACCTTCCGATGGGTGGTATCGAAACCTACAACACTGTAATCTGAACCTAGGTTATCTAAAATAGAGTTCACATATTAGTAGACAAAACATTCTCAAGACTGGACCGTAAAAAGTCAATTGTCCAGTGCAACATTTTATTATAAACATATATACTGTATGTTAGAAAGAAAGAAAAAATTCGCCGTCATCTTTTCTGACAACCAGAGTAGTATGACTTTGGACAACTTTGTTAGATAAGGTAAAATTTTTGGCACTCCCAAATCCACCTAATTGTGGATAGTTAGCTCCAATTTCAATCTTGTTCAATGAAGATCAGTTTTTGCATAATTTCCGTATTGTAGCTCCTCCATCGACGTTCGAACATTCCACAGTATTATCCTTTCTCCCCTTAACTCTTTCTCCCATATAGCTAGGGGACTGTAGTTAGTAACTTTATTTCCGTGGGGAGGGGACTAGGCCCATTCTCAATTTCCACTGCTTATGTTAGAGTCAAATCATGAGGGTGACAGGCTTTTAGAAACTGTTCAGGATGGTTTTTGTTAGATATACACGACTGTGTCATTTAAATTTAATACGAGAGTTATGAATTAGATAGCTCTAAAGTGCCAGTGTTAAATTCAGTATTTTTAGAAGCGATAATTTATAGCAGGTTTGCTTACATAACTGTTTACGAATCATTTGTTGTGTAGTTCAATTGTTGTGAGTTGACGTTACGTTACTCGAACCTTCGGAATTTTTCTTGCTGTGTATTGTAGTTCTAGGCCTCGATCAGGCAATATATATATAGGCGACCAGAATAATGAAATAAGACTGTGTGTAAATTAGCCATATAGGGCGATTTTTAAAGTGAGTGTCATAGCTTTGTATTGTAACAACAGAGTAAAGGAGAATAGTTTACCTTGTCAAAGGGTTTTCGAAAGCAGTGCTTCCCAAACTTTTTCAGCTCGCAGTACACTTTTAGTGTCCCAAATTGTTTGCGCCACATGTAAATAAGTCCGTATGGCAGGCCGAGTGACATATGCAGACATGACAGCAGAAGATGCCATGGACTATGACAAGTTGAAAGTGGCCTTGCTAAAACACTATGACCTTATGTAAGTTCAAAGAAGTCAAACCTGACACTAGAGAAACTGTATTTCAATTTGTGGCATGTCTACAGTGATACTTCAAAGATAGACTGACATGATCAAGTATGAAAACAATCGTGAAGGACTGGCAGATATTCTAATAGTGAACAGTTCGTGATCACGTACTCAACTGATATGTCACTGTTTCTAAAGGAGAGCACATCAAAAGACGTAGATAAGATGATCAAGCTGGCAGAATTTCAGTTACCGTAAAACAAATCATAACGGCAACATTTTACACAACTTTGTTGAAAATAATAACTTATTAGCCATTAACGATAATATTCTAACCCATAGCACTATAACTGTTGCAAGACATTCTTGATTTAGCAATCATTTCACAATCACTTATCCCTTATACAAACAATTTGCAGGTACTAGAACACATGGGGAGAGAGACCATAACCCCACCTCCATCAACCCTCGTAACACAAACGCAATAACACTAACTAAAGTTTTTGGATTTTACAAAAGCAAACTTGAACAATCTAAAACTAGCCATAGACGCACTGTTGTCTAATGTTAAAAACTGAGCTAACAACAGCGATGACATAGGTATATATATGCCTTCGAAATCTCAAGTGCCATATCTAAGCCTTGTCACAACACGTCAGAAAAATCAAACCATCAACCACTGGCAGTTAACCCCACAAATTTTTAACCTCATACAAAATAGAAGACACTTACGCAGAGAATTCATACAAACAAGAGACATGAACCTTAAATTCAAATCAACAATATAAATAATAACATTAAAAACTAATCAAAGCTCAAGAAGAAGGCAACTAGCTATGTTTCTGTCTATCAACAAACAATAATAGGCAAAACCTATTTCTTTTCTGCCGAAAATTCAAAACCATTTGTAATGACAGCTCAGCTCAAGTTAACCACACTATCAAATATAATAATAACACTACACTAACAGACAAAGACAAAGAAAAAAAATATTCAGCGATTACTACACAACAGTTTTCACCACACCTAACACCAACAATTTCAACAACGATCACTATCTTAAAGTAAACAATCACTTACAAGAAAACATCAACATGTACACTCCCACCTTCCCAGTTTCACTTAACTCAAAAAACCCACCTACCGATGTCAGCATAACAAAGCCAGTTACCAAAGCCGAACTCAAAATAAACATCAATAAATTAAAAATATATGCCTTAGTTGAGGAAGACACCAGAAACATTATCCTGAAAAACGCGTCTAATCTTTTCATCACACATCTTATCGCACTTTTTATTCTATCGTTAAAGTTGGGATATCTTCCAACAATATGGAAATAGGCAATTATAAGCATTATTCTTAAGAAAAGTAATGACCCCAGCAACCCAGGCAACTACAGACCAATCAGTTTATTAAATTGCATTGGCAAATTGATGAAAAATTATCACAACAAGACTACTTTACCATCTACCATCTCGAATCTAACAAGCTCCTTTCTGACATACCAAATGCGTCACGAAAACAATGTCAAACAACGGGCCATTTAGTAAGACTAACAGAATCTATTCACAAGGGTTTCAACCGTAATCAAGCAACAACTTGCGTGTTCCTAGTTGTCAAAAATGTTTTCGATGCAGTCTGGTATTATAGTCTTTAGTACAAACTATGTAACTACAATATACCGACTTCATTAGTCAGATGGATATCAAGCTTCTTAACCAATAGAACTGCTAAAGTTAAAATAAATGTCATTTCGCCCTCTTTCTCTTTACAAGTAGGCGTGACGCAGAGCTCTGTTTAAAGCTCTCTACTTTACATATTAATTATGAACGACATTAACTTCTCGGCGCTCTTTCAAACACAAGCCTCACAATATGCCGATGACATCGCCGAATGGAGCACATCACGGGTCCCACTCCCAGCATCAAACAGAATACAAGTCACGTCAGATCACATAGTTGCATTGTGCAATACCTGGCGCATTTTGCTACATCCACTGAAAACACAGTCCATTGTCTTTTACCATAAGCTAAGACAGAATACCAAAAAAAGTAATGTAGTTCAACTGCAACTATATGACAGGCAAGTCCAGTTTTCGAAAAAACATTAAATTTCTAAGATTAATCTTGAACAAACATCTAGCCTCGAACACAGATTTCGCTGAAAGCGTGACTAAAGCAAAGCAACGAGTCAGTTATCCCAAAAAATTGGTGGTTACGTCAAAGGCTGTAACGCCCGCTCTATAATGCTAATATATAAAATGTACATCAGGCCATTATTAGAATACAGAAGCCCTGTCACCTGCAATATGCTTAACTCTCATGACTAAAAATTAGAATCCATGCAACTAAAAGCAATAAGATTAGCCTATACCGCCTTCCAGTTTACACCCCGCGCACATACCTTCACAAAATAAGTAAGTTAACCACAATTCAAACACGCTTCAAAATTATTGCTACCACTCATTATGAAAAAACAACAACAAAGAATCGAAATGACCTCTCAACAAAGACCACCAAACATGCAGAAATGCCAGTTACTTGGAATAAATATATTCCCCATAAAACTACATTACATCACTATACAAAGAGAACACACGCCGCCATCCACTTTGAGGATTTTGCTTTTTCCTTCTCTCTCTCAGTTTTCTTTTTCAGGTTACCGACCAGAAACAGACAATGGACTACATGTTTTATGATTATGTAATTTGTAAGATTGTTAACTTGTTGTATCCATTATCCCTGAATTGTAATCTTTCATGTATTGTTAACTCTTGGTTCTAATATTGTTCTTTGTCATTGTTATAATTAATTGTTATTGTAATTGTGAATTGTTAATAAACAATGGTTCTGGTCATAATGTTTTTTTTTCTGGGACGGGGTGTGATGGCCCCGGGGAGCAGGTTTTCGTCGTGTGGTTTCTCCGCTCATTGTCCCTGATCTTCGTGTGCCAGACTGGAAGCTTAAACTTTCTCATCACCCCAACTACAGGAAGAGGAACGCATTTCCAGTCTTTCCTTCTAGCTCGCTTAATCTTGGCAACTCATTTCAGCAAATCAAAATACACGAAAAACATAGTTACGTCACTAGAGTTTTATTTACTACACAAATCAATGATAAGGCGAAGAGAAATTTCAACTCATTTCTGAGAACCCTCGAGTTATCAAACCTATATACATACCAGGACTGGATTGTTATTCACATTAAAAATAAGAATACCCCTGTTTGTAAATAATAATAAAATATCCAAACTTTAACAGTGTATTAATTAACAAGCCCAATACTTTGTACGAAGCAGAATAACTAAGAGAAACGTGATTTCAGTGTATAATTCAAATCACCAAATCAGATTTGGTTGGGTTTGAATTTCATGCAAAGCTACATGAGGGCTACTTGCGCTAGTCGTCCCTAATTTAGCACTGATAGACTAGAGGGAAAGCAACTAGTCAACACCACCCACCGCCAAATTTTGGACTACTATTTTACCAACGAGCATGTTCAGTGACGGGGACACAAAATCCAAAATCAGAACTAATAGAATAAGTAATTTCGTTCCGTATTAGCAACTATGAAGCCATCAACCTGAGAATTTTCTTGTGAAGTCAAATGAATACAAGTTACGACTAATATATTTGATTGTACACTTGTTTTAATTCTAGGCGTTTTCTTAATTTGTTTGTTTGTAATTATGGACAAAGCTACACAATGGGCTATCTGTGCTCTGCCCACCACGGGTATCGAAACCCGGTTTCTAGTGTTGTAAGCCCGCAGACATACCGCTGTGCTACTGGGGGGGGGGGGGCTTTTCTTAATTAATATATTACATTGGATCGCCCACAGCAAGCCTTCCAATAAAGGAAAACGATTCCACAATTAACACAGCAGGATTAAATGGTCTTTGCATGTTCACCGAATTAATCTAAATTTATATATATTCAATGTTCCCACATGAAAATGTCGCATAAAATACCATAGAGTTAGTACCCATAGTTTCATGCTTAGTAAGTGTGTTTTTGTTGTGTTTTTCCTTTGTCTCCCGGTGGGACATCGGTAAGTCTACGAAGTTACAAGACTAATATTCTGGATTCGATTCCTCGAGGTGAACACAGCAAATAGTCCAATATCGCTTTACTCTAAAACAAATATTTTTTTTCTATATATGTATATATATCCTTTTTTTACGAATACGCTGTGTATGAACGCATACTCAAAACATTCTTTTAAATGCAACATTTTCATTTTGGTTATGAATTTAAAATTTAACGTTTTGGCAAAGAGTTTAACAAAAAGGCTTTAGATAAAATGTCCCACCAAAATTATGCATTTATATTCATAATCATATATCAAATTAATTAACTTTACTTTTTCACTTTTGTAGTTGAATTCCAAAATCACTGTATTAATGATTCTAACTTAATTTGAGATACCAGAAACTCTTTTTTTTTTCAACCTCAACTGCAGTCATTACAGTCACTTGGCAACAACACGATCGATTTGTCTCTTGCAGGAATATGCGCAAACAAATGCGCAACTATCGCAGAAAGGTAACCGTAAGATACCGATAAATTTTTATAGTGATTTGTTTGCAGTGCTGTTAATCACTGAATAATGTAACGAACCGAAGAACTGTACAGAATGCCACATCACCTCTCAGGTTTTAATCCTATCTCATATACTCCTGCGTGGAAAATTAAACTTGGGTCATGTCTTTCTCAATTCAGCGATTTTGGAAGATTCATCGCTCCTACCTATTATCATGACCGGTGTGAAAGGTATGAAGAACTCCATTACTGCTAATCAAGGCATAGAAATTAAAAGTTAACAGATGGTTGATCTGTTTATCAACGGTATTTGTGATTTTTTTATATAATTGTGCATATATGTTAATGGCTTCATTTAGAGCATTAACAAATAGTTAAAGTCAACTTGCCCATGTTTAATTTATAATTTCAGTTTTAGTCTACTCAGATTGATTTGAAATAATAAGATTTTATTTCTTGCCCAAGTGCTTGGTAGTTAAAGCACAGCTATAATCCCTTATGTTTTTATAAACTTTGAGTCATTTTACGAGGGTTGTTAGTTCTGATATAGGTTACGAAATAAAAAAATTGAATACAAATATAATTTTTTTATTATCATTTTGTGAGTTCGCTTCCAAACAATCTCGTCTCTCAGTGGATCAGCGATAAGTTTACGGATTTACGACGCTAAACTACAGGGTTCGATTTCCTGTGGTAGATAGAGCGCATATAGCCTATTGTGTAGTTTTGCGCTAAAACAAACCCAAGAATCTCAATGGTAACTCATCGGTAAGATTAAAAGCTTGTAACTCTAAGTTTCGTGGTTCGATCCCTGTAGTAAACATAGCAATATGACAAAGAAATGGTATAGAAACAAACTTTTATAGATAATTTCTAACTATACTTGTATTATTTGTTTTATGTTATTAATCTAACCATCTATCTATCTATATAAGAAAATTAAATGTTATTTGGACTAATTAATGGGCAACAAATACGTGATATACATTATACAGCATTATTTGTTTATTTCAAAAGCAAAAATGCACAACTGGCTATCTATGTTGTCCCTACTGTATGGATCGAACCCAGAATTATAGCGTTGTTGGGTTGAGCATTGGGCTACAATCCGAGTGGTTGTGCTTACCCCTCATATGGAAGTCGGCTGCTTTGGAGGAGATAGAATAGAACTGTTTTACAGATGTTACCAGTGGCCTTCTGGCTTTATACTGTCCTACTGATTTCTCATCTTTTGCTTTCCTTACTACACCATATAGTGTTTCTTTTCCAGCAGTATCGTTCCCCCTGGATGCTAATGAAGAGCTTCCATGGTTGCTGTTTTCGCCTTACTAGCGACGAGAAGGTCGATATCATATTAATAGAGTTATGCAGGGTTTGATAAAGGGGCTCTTATAAATTTCCTTGTTTAGCTTTACCTCTACACAGTCTGGTACACATATATACAGGTGATGCCATTACCATACAGTTGCTTTGCTTTCTCCAATCCATCTGGGGACCAACCACCCTGAATCATATACAGTACTGTCTGTGAGTTAGTTACAAATTTTATGTTGGTGACACCGTCTATTTGTGGTTTATTGCTTCCAGCAATCCAGATGAGAGCTAGCTTCGTGGCTTCCAGCTCCATCCTTGTGGGAAGATTAAACTCTTCACCAGCCTTATGCAAAATATTTATTCTGCAAAATGATGAATACCCAACCAGTTCTCTCAGTGTATTTGGTGTTGGAATAATCTGTGGCTATTATGACAGGATACTGTCCACCGTGGTTTATAAACAGGTACTGGCACCTTTTACCAGTTTCACCTTTTGCCCAATTTCTATATTTTTGTCTAAATTGATTTACACAAATCCCAGTGGCATCAAATGTTTATTCCACACAGTGACCAATTATCTCAGTGATGACTGTTTCCAAGGGCATGTTTCAAATTATCCATTATTTGATTTGTGTATGAGGGGTCGTTTTATAGCTGGAATATCCCATGAAGAGGACAGTAGCTCAATGATGGAAAACACGGTCTTTACACTACAAGACCCTAGTGAAGAAATTTGTTTAAAAGTACTGTTGGCACTGTATGATTCTGCTGAGACTTGTGAGATGTAATAGGGTCTTGATGGGTATGGCTGAATTGACCAATCTTAAACAAGTGTTTTGTATTTTTTCAACCTTATCAGGCTGCATAGCACTCATAAAGATCATCAGTAGCATATGATCCAGAATAGAACAGATAAGACTTTGGTAAACCTTAAGCAGGTGATGCTTTTCTTCTCTATTTGCTCCTGCAACTTTTAGTTCATTTATGCCTCTAGAAGCTCTAGTTGTTATGGTGTTAATGTGGCTGGAAGTTAAATAATCTGTCAAATGATACCCATAGGGAATTCAGAGTTTATTTGACGTAGATGGCAGTGCTTGCAAAGGATGGTGATGATTTGTTCTCACCAGCACCTCTGTTGTTGAGTGTGGAGAATATGGTTGGTTTTGCAGGATTGATGACCACTCCCGCATTGTTTCACCACTTGCCCACCCTGCTTCCATGTATCTAATGGTGGGAAACTTCAATGATAATGCCAGATACCCCACCTCAGTTGAAGGTGAAAAATCTAATGACAAAGATTTACATTCTGCTCTCCATAATACACTCACCAACCTGGAAGAAATATTGGCATAAAACAACCTAAGAATCCATGCACAGACAACAAACCTTCTCACAATGCTTATACCCTCAAGCTCAAACATCTCTCCACCATCAAGCAAAGTCAGGGCAAAAACTTCTGCAAAAAATAAAACCCCATTCTGTGAAAGACCACCCAGAGTTCCTTGATGCCTGGGGCAGAATTACATGTTGGGGCCTTTTACTTTAACATTAACCATGGTCAAACCTTTATCTTCGTAGGTCCTCTTTTCTTGTGAGGCCTGGGGACCGCCCCCCCCCCCAAATGGCAGCCCTGCATTAGGACAGCGATACTGGTATAGCTTGGAAAGCAAGCAATCAAGTCCAAGCTGAATTCATGAAGACAAACTATGGCTCAGCCCATGCAGAGGAAGCAATGACTGCATGAAGCTCTAGCATCATATACAAAGTATTCAGGAGACTCAACCATTTCCTAGCCCCTATGTCTGTCACATTCCAGTCAGCCTGATGAGTATTTAATGAAAGGCTTCATTAGCACTGTATACAACAGATATAGTTGGCACAACGTGTTCTGTCATTGGATGGATTCTTCTTTGGATTATTTGGAAAATGAATGCCAAAGAAGAACTCACCCAACAGAACACGTTACCACACTAATGTCAGAAGTGGGATAATTTTGGTGAAAACAAAATATAACTTGACCCAGTTTCAGGATGACAACCAGATCCAGAAGTGAAATTGAAGCTTTGCTAGAGATGACGAAACAATTGAAAGATAGTCAAGAAGAAAAGACAGAAAATTAAAAGAACAATTGGAAGAGATAATAAATTAGAAAAACAGGACAAAAGATTAAAAGATCAAGAAGAAAAAGGTCGAAAATTAGAGACACACGACAAGAAATTGAAAAAAAAAAGACCAAGAGGTAAGAGACAGGGATTTGAGAGAGGGGTTAAAGTAAAGAGACATACTATTAAATGAAGAATTAAAATACAAAATTTGATTGAAAAAAATACCGATGACGTTATTGGAAAAGTACTGTTGAAGAAGTACAAAAAATACATAAAAGAAGTAATTATAGAAATTAATGAAGTAGAACTAACATTAATGACACCATAATACATCTGGAAAACGAATTATTAAATGTAATGATTAAACCAGCTACACCTCTTTCTGCATCTTCCCAAGATTTCTGAACTAAAACGCCATGTATTACAAATATGGATTAGGAGAATGTATTTGGTCTATACCTATTACAATATTGCTTTGTCATCTGTTACAGCAAGATCTACCTGTACTACTCCAGCTGTGTCACTGCCAAATCTAGTTCCAGAAATTATTTAGCCAATTCAACAATATTACCTGACTGAGAAACGAATAAACAATGTGGAAAGGTGCCATTGCAAACATATCACGCTCAGTTCGAAATAATTTTCAAAGTGAATAGGTGGAATAGTGAACAACAAACTATTCATCTCGCTACCTGTTTAAAAACACCAAATTTATCCACATTAAGTAACCTTACAGCTGTAGCATTGTGAGTTATATTTTTCAATGTTTAATCAAGATGCTCACAAGAGGGTGCATGAGGTTAAGGTGTAATAAATTCGACTAAGATCTAAATGGGTACATTAATTATGAATAAGACTGAACAACCAGTTCGTTAGAATGCCAATTACTTTGGTGCCAGTTAAAGAGAATTATTAATTTGAGTAAATAGTGAATGAGTATTCAGTAAGGGTTATCACATTTATTCTTTCGTTCAGTTACTTAGTGAGTTACGTGTTTAATTAAACAGTTACATAGTAAATTACGTGTTTAATTAAGCAGTTCTTTAGTGAGTTATGTGTTTAATCAAGCTAAATAACAAATCAAGTTTAATATATCTCACTGAATTCTCATTTAGTTTAGGTTAAGTAATTAAGCAAAACGATAAAAACCCACGTCATAAGATCGAAATAATTTCTCCACAATTCTTTCTAAATATCATCATGTTGTAAAACATATGATAATCAAGTGAAAACCTTAACTTAATATTTACTCTAAACTCAAATTATTTCTCACTTATATGTAAAAGATATAATTAAAACTTCTCTGTTTTTAGCGCAAAGCCATATAATAGGCTATCTGAGCTTTGTTCACTGAAGGTAACCAAACTACGCATTTTAGCATTGCAAGTTCTTAAACTTACCATTAACCCACCAGGGGACATTAAAACTTGTAAGTCTGATATTAAATAACATAAACGTGTGGTAACTCATCCAAGTCAAAACAGTTTTATATTCAATCTATAATAAAAAATTTAAAAAAATATTAAACCACAACATTTAAGATAAGAGTTGTTAGGATGAAAATTCCAGCCATGTTCAGTCAATGCACCCGCAATGAAATAAGCATAGAGATAAATATTGAACTTTAAATAACTACTGCAAATGAAATTGAAGAGATACCAAGTTTTTGACTCTAAGATAAGTTATTCGAGTAAAGTAGTGGGTTCTTAGTTATCTTTTTTTGTTTTTATTATACTCTGACAGTTTTTCCAATTTGTTAAACCCGATATGAGAATGAAAATGGTTCCAAATAGTTTAATAAACGTTTATATT